CGGGCGGCAGGGGGACTCACCGCACGATGTCGGCGAAGGCGGTGAGCAGGGGTTTGCTGGTGTACTCCAGCCCGTGGCGCTGGCACAGCGAGCGCACCAGGGGCGCCACCGCGGCGTAGCTGTGGCGAGGCATCGTGGGAAACAGGCTGCGGGAGAGGAGGGACAGAGGGACAGTGGGCAGTGCTGCATGCCGGACACGGGGACACAGAGCAGACGGCTCGCACGGAAACTCACTGGTGCTCGATCTGGAAGTTGAGGTGTCCTGTGAACCAATCGTTGAACAAGGACTGGTGCACGTTGCAGGTTGCCTGGACCTATCAGAGAGCAGAGACAGCCTGTTACCAGGCAGAATTCAGAGCAGAGGATGTGTGCCAGCCAATCACACTCAAACTGAGAGGCCCTCTACAGCTCGATAGACCATTGGCACCTGCATGGTGAGCCAGTCCCGGTTCTGGTCCCGATCGATGTGCATGGGGATGTGGTTCATCTGGGTCACCCACACAAACCAGTTACTCTCTAGGAACCTGCAGGACATAAGCAGAACACTGTCTCTAGAAGCAGAACACACACTGTCTACCCCACACTGTCTCTGTACCACTGTATTAGAATGTCACACTGTCTCTGTGTCACACTGTCACACTGTCTCTGCGCCACTGTCACACTGTCTCTGCGCCACTGTGTTAGACTGTCACACTGTCTCTGCGCCACAGTCACACTGTCACTGCGCCACTGTGTTAGACTGTCACACTGTCTCTGTGTCACAGTCACGCTGTCTCTGTGTTAGACTGTCACGCTGTCTCTGTGCCAGACTGTCACGCTGTCTCTGTGCCACTGTGTTAGACTGTCACACTGTCTCTGTGCTGTGTTACACTCTGTCTATATCTTACCTCACCAGGAAAAACAGACCCAGGAAGGCCGGGAGTCCAAGCAGGGGCAGGTAGCACAATGTGAACCGAACATAGAAAGACAGCATCCACAGCAGGTCCTGAGGGCAGAGACAGAAACTCAGCTTCCATCTAGCACCTCCTACAGGGCGCCGCCACATCTGCAAGACCACAAGCTCCGACTGACCCACCTGCCACTGGTGACGCCTCACAACAAAGTAGAAGATGTACCACTGGAAATACAGAGGGATCAGAGCTGGAGGACCGACTGTGAAGAGAACAACAGCCATGAGCATCGCTGTAGAGACACACAGACAGGAGCACCGCTGTAGAGACACACAGAGACACACAGACAGGAGCACCGCTGTAGAGACACACAGAGAGAGACGCACACACAGGAGCACCGCTGTAGAGACACACAGAGAGAGACACACAGACAGGTGCACCGCTGTAGAGACACACACAGAGAGACACACAGACAGGTGCACCGCTGTAGAGACACAAAGAGAGAGACACACAGACAGGAGCACCGCTGGAGA